TGCATAGCAAATAATTGTGAAGACCATGGCCTGAGTCTGGTGCACCTTAGTCTCTAGACTGACATTTTTGCTCTTCAGCACTCTAGAGAGGTCCCTGACATTAGATTTTCCTAGTGCAATTCATCTTTTGATTTTCTGACTGCTGATGCCACGAGTGTTGATTGTGAAACTGAGCAAGCTGAAATTGTTAACAATCTCCATCTCTTCTCCATCTATCGTGATGCTGCCACTTGGCATGGTGATGAGAATCTTTGTTTTCTTGAGGTTGAACTTCAATCCATATTGCAAACTACAGTTCTTGACCTTCTGCAGCAAATACTTCAGGCCTTCCTCAGTTTCAGCAAGTAAGGTGGTGTCATCTGCATAACATAGGTTGCTGATGAGTCTTCCTCCAATCCTGATACCACATTCCTTCTCATAAGGTCCAGGCTCTTGAGTGATATTCTACATACAGATTGAAAGAGTAGGGAGACAGGACATATGCTTGAATCACTGCCTTTCTGATTTAGAACCATTCAGTGTTTTCCTGCTCTGTTCTGAGGACTGCTTCCTGGTCCAAGTATAGTTTCCACATGAGCACAATCAGGTGTTCAGGTATTCCTATTTCTCTCAAGGTTACCCACAATTTGTTGTGATCCACACAGTCACATGGCTTTGCGTAGTCATTGAAACACAGACATTCCTCTGGTACTCTCTGCTTTCAGCCAAGACCCAATGGCAATGATGTTCCTAGTGCCACGGCGTCTTCTAAATTAGGAGTCCATTAAAAAAAAAACAAAAAACAACCCAACACAAAAAACCAAAAAAAGCTTATTGCCAGGGAGCTCTGGTGGCCTAGTGACAAGAAGCTTCACTGCAATCCCAGAGGTGCACAGTTTGAATCCACCAGATGCTCTGCTGGAGAAGGAGGGGCAATCTCCTCCTGGACCAGTCAGATCCAATTTGATGGTACGCATACAAAAAATAATACAATTTAAATTTTTTTTAAAAGCCCTGTTGCCACCAAGTAGATTCTGACTTGTGGGGACCCCGTACTCTGAAGAGCAGACCTGCTCCATAAGGTTTTCTTGGTTGTGACCTCTCAGGAGCAGGTTGCCAGGCCTTTCTTCCTAGGCACTTCTTGGAAAGTTTATACTCCCAACCTTCTGGTTAGCAGTTGTGTGCTTCATCTTTTACAGAGCTGAATGTGCATCAATCCTTCTTAGGGCTGCAGCAGCTGGGAACTGCTACACTCGAGTCCGGCAGCAGGTAGATGGGTGCCAGGTCTGGTGAACATTGTCTTGGAAGCTAAAGGTGAGCCAGGGAACGTGGGCAAGTGTGGACAGACACAGGTGAGGGGCAGGGATGTGTATTGTAGCACAGGACTGTGTGTAACCTCAGGGTGGTCCCCGTTAAGCAAGGTGGTTCCCTGTTTGCCAGAACAGGTACCCTTTTCTCTTCTGTCCCTCCTTCAAAAGCCACACACACTCAACCAAACTCGAGATGCCTGGAGCAGAGCCTCTGCTCATGACCCGGGAGTGTGACAGTCAGACAGGATCCCCTCCACCTAGCATTGCAACGCCCCCTCCTACTAGCAGCCACTTTCAGGGTCTTTGTCTGCCCACCTGAATAGGGCCATCCTCCTGATTCTGTCCTCACTGTTTTGCAACAAAGAGAACATTCTAGCAAAGCCTGAGGACCTAACTCCATGAGCCTTTTGTGATGTAAGCAGGTCAGAACCCCCAGACACATGTCTCCTTCTTGTCATCCCTACCCCAAAACCTGCCTACCGGGGACACACGCTCCCTAAAATATTGAACCTCATGACCCTTGATGTGGGCTGTGTGGTGGGCTGTGTAGCCAGCTTAGTCATTACAACCACCAGGGACCTTTCCAAGATCAAGGCCACCCTAGGAGACATGGGGGAGGACGTTTATCCAGGTGGGATATATATTGCCCCTCTGTGTTCCTACTGACCACAGCCTTGGCACCTCTGGTCAACATGACATCCAGCTGGAGCCACACCACCTGTGGGCTGGGTGTTGGGCCCCGTGTCCAGCCAGACGTGCTGGCCGAGGAACCAGTCAGCCTCCGTGGAGCTGGGAGGGGACAACCTAGCTGTGTCTAGGACCTCCAGGGCCATCCACGTGGATTCCCATTGAGGTCACATGCTGCATTCTGGACAGATATGGTAGCTAGGGCCATGACTTTGGCATGGGCATCAGGCCTGGGCTTCCTCCCACCGTGCCCACCCTCCAAGGCTGCTGCTCACCCCATGCCACCTCCTGACGCATCAGTGTGAACACGGCTGTCACTGAGAATCTCTCTGGCTCCTCCGGGGGTGAGCTCTCTGCCATAAGAATGGTCTCCTAGGCCTCGACCCAGAAGATGGATGGCAAGGTAGAAAGGGGCCTTCAGAGTGTCACCCTGTCTGCAGCTGTGTCAGGCACCAGGTGACCTTCCACTGGAAGTGTGACCCTGAGAAGCATGGCCGTCTCTTCAGAGGTCCTCTGGTCTCCAGAGACATGACATCACTCTGGGACATGCAGAGCCCAAAGGGGGCCAGACACCCCACTCGCCAAAACATGCCCAGGTACTGGCCCCTCGTATGGATCCATGCCTCCAGCTGCACTTGCACAAGCTCCTCCAGCCAGCTGTGGGGACCCAGGGCATCTGAGGAGCAGGGCCTCACTGTCTCGGGCAGCTGGAACCAGCCAAGTTTCCACCCAGCAGGGGAACCTGTGGGCTGCAGCTGCCACAGGTTCTGCCATGGCTGGACACAGCACACTGAGAAATAAAGATTCAAAGGCTATGTTCTCCCAGAAGGCATCAGAGCTGATTTCCTGCTGAGGAAGCTTCACTTACAAATAGCATGTTTTTATAGACCTTTTCCCTAGAGCTATGGCCCCAGGAGGGCCCCAAAGTCACATGTCTGTGTTACTTTCCTGTGCCACATATGTATACATACAACAACAGCACACGTCTGCACTTCATGCCTGGACCACACAGCTTTACCACAGCTCGGCTATGTGTCTGTAACACATGTCTATACCGCACGGCTATATTACATGTCTATACCATACGACTCTACTGCACCACTCTATAAACTCTATAAACGTACAGAAATGATGTTAGTTGTAGAATAGAGTTCAGGTCTTGTGTACAAGGGTCACTATGAGTCTTATCCGACTTGATGACACTTAACCACTGCTAAATGAGACTAGTGCTGTTTTATCTGGAGGAACATTCTTCCACTTTGCACATCACTCTTTGTCAATGTGCTTTATGAAGTAAGCTGGGTTTGCTGTGATGCTGAAACTTGTGTTATTGGGGAATCAAATACTATAAGGGTTTCCCAGTGTGGACAGTGTTTGGTGGAGCTTCGAGTTGTAAAACAGGTTTGGAAGCAGAAGTGGCATCCACTTCCTAAACCACAGGCCTCTGGAAACTCTAAGAACTTGGAGAAATGACGATAGTTATGGAAAAACAATAGGTCCTTTGTTCATAGGGTCACTATGAGTTGTGTTCCACTCGATAGTAATCAACAACAACAACAACATACCACATGACTCTATTGCACCACTTGATGAACACTTTAAAATTCCCACCAGTGGTTTAGAAGGTCAGGCACCACAAAGGGTACCACAGTAGGGGGACACTAAGAGATCAGGAGGGAAGAGATGAGGATGGGACCCTCTGGATGCAGGAGAATGCGAGATTGGAGGTGAGCACAATGGGAGCGAGAGAACCACTGCATTTCCCAAGACCACCTTCACCCAAATAAGCTGGTTCCTACAATGCTTCTTTCCTGTTGTCACAAGCAGAAAACACGCCCAGGGTCTGAATGCCTGGTGTACACACACTAGCATGGGACCTCCAAGAGCCTGGGGCAAGGTCCCCAAACCATCCTCCCCTGGGAACAGACTGGACTGTCCCCCTCCTTTCTCACATTCAAGCCTCAGCCATGTATGACCTGGTCTTTTCTACACACCTTACTGCAAACCTGACCTCACTACACAATGGGCCAACCACACAGAGAAGCATCCAGCCCAGCTGGAGCTGTGCATCTTGGAACCTCAGTGCTGCTGGGCCGTGGGCACTGGACGCTGCTCTGTGCCCATATGTGGAGAGGGAGAGGGATCTCCTGACCTCCAGTGTGAGCAGGGGACATGAGCACCTGAGAAGACAGCAATGTGGAGGCAAAGTGGCTCTGCTCTGTGGGACCTAGAACTGGGGCTACTGAAGCAGTTGCTGTTGTTGTGTTCCTTAGAGTCAGAATTGACCCAGAGCTAACCCTCTGGTAGGTTTTCAGAGGCAGTTGATTGCACAGGAGGAGATTACCTATCCTTCTCCCAAGGAGCAGCTAGTTGATTCGAACCGTGTGCCTTCGGGATTTCAACAAGAAAGAAATCTCTGAGGGCTTCCTGGAGGTGGTTGGCCTCCAAGGACAACAAGTCTGGATTTCAGAAAGTCCTTCTGAATGCCTCCTGGGCATCACCACTCCAACCTGGACTGGGGACTGGTGCCGAGTTACTTTCCCTTAGCACAAAGAGAGGGTTGGATTTCTGTCATCCCAGAAGCAGTGACTCAGTTTGCCAGAAAGGCCAGTTCTGGTGTGGATTCATGCTGGGCTGCCTTGTTTGACCCCAAGGCTAGACCTTTGCTCCCAGTCCAGGATCCATTAATACATCTGTGATATGGCTTGCCCACCTGTCCCAGCCACCACAGAGAGATAACTGATGGCTCAGAGCCCCACCCCTGAAGGCCCCTGGGACAATTGTTGCCTTGGCTGGATTGTTACATAGGGTATAGGCAGCCTGGAAAGGGCCTCAGCTGGCCCCACCCCTGGAAGGGGGATAGATGTGTGGGATGAGGACAGGAGGTCTCAGGGGCTAACCTGGGAGCCACCCCGAAGACTGTGGAATCCTGACCCCCTAAAGCTTCTGTAGGTCACTGTGTCAGAGTGGCTCCAGAGGGAGCCGCCTTTATTGAGGTGACGTTAGGAGGACGATGCTGCAGGCATGCTGAGCCCACACGTGCTCGATTGCCCCGCTGTGATTTTCGACAATGGGTCCGGGCTCTGCAAGGCAGGCCTGTCGGGAGAGATCGGACCTCGACACGTCATCAGCTCCCTCATCGGGCATCCCAAACTCAAGGTGCCTTCGTCTGGAGTCCACCAGAAAAAGTACTTCGTGGGGGAGGAAGCGCTTTACAAGACCGACTGCCTAGACCTCCACTACCCCATCGAGCGCGGCCTGGTCACGAACTGGGACGACGTGGAGAAGCTGTGGAGACACCTGTTTGAGTGGGAGCTGGGCGTGAAGCCCAGTGACCAGCCCGTGCTCATGACCGAGACCTCCCTGAACCCCCGGGAGAACCGCGAGAAGACAGCAGAGATTGTGTTTGAGACGTTCAACGTGCCTGCCTTCTACCTGTCGGACCAAGCAGTGCTGGCCCTCTACTCCTCGGCCTGCATCACAGGCCTGGTGGTGGACAGCGGGGATGGGGTCACCAGCACGGTCCCCATCTTTGAGGGCTACTCCCTGCCCCACGCCGTCAACAAGCTCTATGTGGCCGGGAAGGACATCACGGAGCAACTCACCCAGCTGCTCCTGGCCAGCAACTGCACCTTCCAGCTGACGCTGTACAAGACCCTGGTGAACGACATCAAGGAGAAGCTCTGCTACGTGGCCTTGGAGCCGGACACGGAGCGGTGCAAGAAGCCGGAGGAGGTGCTGAAGGAGTACCGGCTGCCTGACGGGAACATCATCCACCTGGGCAGCCAGCTCTGCCAGGTGCCCGAGGCCCTCTTCACCCCCGACCTGCTGGGCATCTACAGCCCGGGTCTCCCCAAGATGGTCTCGAGCAGCATCATGAAGTGCGACGGGGACATCCAGAAGTTGCTCTTTAGAGAGATCGTGCTTTCCGGTGGTTCCACGCTCTTCCTAGGACTCGATGACCGGCTCCTCCGGGAGCTGGAGCAGCTGGCTACCAAGGGGACCCCCATCAAAATCACCGGCCCCCCTGACAGGTGGTTCTCCACATGGATCGGTGCCTCCATCGTCACCTCGCTGAACAGCTTCAAGCAGATGTGGGTCACCGCGGCAGATTTCAAGGAGTTCGGGACATCGGTGGTTCAGAGGAGGTGCTTTTAGGGGGCCCTCGGCATGGAGCGGCCCAGTGAGGTGTTGCTGGTGGGCCACCGCGGAGAAGTGGAGTTGCCTGTTGGCTTCACCAGGATGTTCAATTAAAAAAAACAAAACAAAAACAAAAACAACCGTGGTGGGTACTTGACTGGTTTGGGCTTTTGTTTGTTCTTGGTGGCATCAGAATTAATTGCTGGCATCGGTAGTGAACTTCCCTTGGGAGTTTCAGCCATTTCCACCCCTTCCTGTGAGCCTTGGTATGTCACCCTTTCCCAGAAAGCCCTAGGTTGAACTGAGGTTGAGCCCACCTGCAGAGCTTGCTGTAAATAAGCAGATACCTGAAGGGTGTTATCCTGCTTTTGTTGTGTACCTTAATGTTGGGACCAATCTATAGCTGACCTTCCAGTGGGTTTTCATAGGCAGTTAACTAGTTGCTCCTGGGAAACACTTGATGACTTCGAACCATGTGCCTTCAGGATTACAGCACAGCTTCTTGGCCACAAGGCCACTGGAGCTCAGAAAACTTTAGCCCAGTGAGGCTTGACCTCGTCTATTCCCAAATGAAGCAGCTGAGTGGGAGCAAGCCACCACACCACCCTTAGCAGATAAGGTGAGGTGGACAAAGTAGTCCCCACTTATTTAATGCAGCATAAACTCAGGGGCCCCAGGTAACACATTAAGAATCAACACCTCTACTTGGTTACTGAGATTTTTTTTCCTGTCCACTTCATTTTATTTAAAAGGCTATTATAGCATCATTATTTTGGGGGCAAAATACTAGAAACAGAGTTAACGGCCATAAATAAAGGTTGAATAACTTATGCATATGGTGGCCTAGGGAGTAATGAATTGTGCTGCCAACTCAATGGCACAGGGTTCAAATCCGCCCACTGCTACGTGGGAGGAAGATGGGCAATCTCTTCTCTGTGTCAGCTGTAAGTCAGTCTGACAGCATATAATAACATATGGTGAAAACGGGGGAGGGGGGAATATAAAAGGATAGACAGGCTGGTGGAGGAAGGAAAGATTAAAAGGTAATTCAGATGAAAGAAGACAAGGGGAGAAAAGAAAAATGTCTATACTACAGAGAGTCAGCCCAAAGAAAACAAACCTTTTATTCTAAAATTGTTTATGGAGAGAGAAAAAGAGAGAGAGAGAGGGAGAAGGAGAGGGGGAGGGGAGGGGGAGGGGGAGAGGGGAGAGGGAGTATGTTTACTTGGTATATTTTCCATTCTACTTTCAATCCAACAATTTCATTGCATTTGAAATAAATGATGTACTTAGAGACAGTATGTGGCTGGGATTTGGTTTTCTTTCAACCACTCTCCCAATCTCTGCCTTTTAATTGGTGTATTTAGCCCATTTACATTTCAGGTAATTATTGATATAATGAGGCTCAAGCCAGTGTTGTGTGCCAGTTTCTCTGGTCCCTTGTCCTTTTATTCCTGTTTCTCTTATTTCTGTTTTTCATTTCGTACTTTCTTGTGAGTTACTTGCACATTTTTCAGGATTACACTCTGATTTATTTATAGTGTTCTTGAGTGCTTTGCTTTGTATAGTTTTCCTAGTGATTGCTCTAGGTATTACATTATACATTCATAATTTATCACAATCTACTGCTATTGACATTTTACTGCTTCAAGTGAAGTATGGAAACTTTATTTCTATTTAGATCCCTTTGCCATTTAAATGTCTTAAATATACTTCTCTTAATTATTTCCTCTACATACTTGGAGCACTATATCAGACGGTGTCATACTTTTTTGCTAAAATCATCAAACATGATTTCGGAAACCCCAGAGAAGGTTCATCTAAAATGGTTTCCCTATTTTCACACCCTGAGGTATTCTGTGTCCTTCCTGAAGTTCCACCCCTTCTTCTGTTATCATTTCCCTTCTGTATACAGCACTTCCTTTGACCACTCTTTAAGGGAAGTTTTTCTAGAAACAAATTCTGCT